TGTTATTTTCTTTCACTAATGTGTTAACATTCATTGTTTTGTTTTATACAATATTAAAAGTGCATTCTGTGTTTACTAGCCTAACATACAAGTCATCAAAGCTGAAAATTATTGTAGTCAAGCTACAGAAAGTTAACACACACATCACACTCTTCACAGTTTGTTTTCATTCAACCTTTATTTATACAGGTTAGTCTCATTGAGCCACGAGGACTTTTTTACAAGAGAGACCTGATTTAAACAATGACACAGATGAGGTACACACAACAATAGACAATCATAAAAAATGCTTATAATATGAAAAATAAATCATATGTTCAAATGTGATCAGAAACAGTAAGCAAGTAAATAAAGAATTTTTTTTTCTTTTGATTTAATTTTTATTTTAAAAAAAACTTCCCAGCACCACAGGACAACAATAAGATCTGGCACAACTGAAACATTTATCAACTCCACCTGGAGTGAATCCAACTCGGTCACAGGTGTTAACATTTACCTGTCTTGATTGACACCGCTCACAGAGCTTATTGATCACTAGATGTGTTAAAACAACTCCCAAATCAACACCAACTCAGAATTATTAACACTGAACAAACAGAACTACAGATTTTGCTGTGTTATGTCTCAGTTCAAACAGGTGCCGGTTTTAGTAAAAAAAAAAAAAGATAAAGATCAGTTTAAAACAGTTTCATTATAATGTGAACAATATGGATCTTTAAGAAGCACAAAAAGAAATGAGGGTTTCCACACACCTGGATCACCTGTCAGCACTTACATAACACACTCATAACATCACTTTAACACTTAGATTTAATGTCAGCCTATAAATCCTGTAAGACATTTTATTTTCTAAATTATTGTTCAGACAAAAAGCCCGAGGCAGCAGTCTTCATGCCGTCTCACCTACTGTAAGTGGTTTTAATGGGCCTGTCGTTTGCACTGTAAGGAAGGAACATGGGGACGTTGACCTCTGAGCAGGACGACCTTTGATCCTCAAGTGAGGCACAGACGGACGTCCCTCGCTGCTGACTTCACTCCAGGTTCAGTGTCCGCGAGCTGCTCTGCATCGTCTCCGTCCTCCACGCAGAGGTACTGTTCCGTTTCTGCTGCTTCACTGTATTTACTAACCCTCGTCTGTACTGTGGAACTTTTAGGTCATTTTATCTATCGTAAATGATCTTTATTCAAGTTTCTTTAAGTAATATTTGCTAGTTTTTATTCATTTATTTAGGCTAAATCAACACATTATTTAAATCGTGCTAAATTTAGGTAGTAAGTAAAAAAAGGTTTTTAATGGTTCAAAGAGGCTAAAATATACCTTTTTTTTAACCTTAACAAGATTTTAAATGTTTTTAGTCCTAAAATTAGGAGCATTTATTGTTGTAGCTGACAGTTTAAAATGATTTTAAAGGAAGTAAATTGAACGTTTTGATATGATCATATAATTAAGTTGACTGGAGGTTTTCTGCTGCTGTAGCTGTTAGAACAGCAGCATGAAGACTGTGTTGTTGTTTAGGCTGCGAGCTTCCTGGGATGTTAGAAACGGGCGCTGAGTCATCGTCACCGAACCCACAGGTCCGGGACTGATTGGACCTGTGTGTGTGTGTTTACCTCCGGACAGTCTTAAAATATTAAACTCTTGTAGTTTTATGATCTGTACAGAGTCGTGTCAAACTCTCAAGACTTAATTCAGTTTATTTGTTCAGCAACATTTTATAAAAGGTCCAGGCTGATCCTCTTTGTGAGTTTTAGCTGTTTTCTAGTATATTTTATTGCATATGTAATTTTTTTTTTGTTCATTTCACAAATTTAAGCAGTTCGTTTTTCTATTCACTTTTAGCTAATCATTTTTGTATTCCATTATTTCAATTTTATTTTATTTATTTTGCTTTTGAGGCCACTTAACTCTGACCATTGACCGACCAGGCATCAAAATGCTCTTGGTGAGCCTGTGTGGACACACGCCAGACTCCTTAGGATAAAAAAAACCCCACTTTGAATTGTATCTTTAGGAATTTTGCTATAAAAGCCTCTCACAAAATATGTGAATAAATAGATGCAGATAAGGAGCAGACAAATATAATCCAGTTTGACAAGCAGAGACTAATATTTGCCCACCAAGATGAAAATGTCCATCCATCCATCCATCCATTATCTTTACCTGCTTATTCCATTTTGGGTCACGGGGGTCGCTGGTGCCCATGTCCAGCAATCACTGTGCGAGGGGCGGGGTACACCCTGGACGGGTCGCAAGTCCATCACAGGGACACATAGAGACAAACGAGACAAACAACCATTCACTCTCTCACTTACACCTAAGGACAATTTAGAGTTACCAATCAGCCTAACATGAATGTTTTTGGTCTGTGGGAGGAAACCGGAGCACCCGGAGAAAACCCACGCATGCACGGAGAGAACATGCAAACTCCACCCAGAAAGGCCCCTGGACCGGGGTTTGAACCAAGGACCTGCTCGCTGAGAGGCAGCAGCTCTACCAGTTGCACCACCGTGCTGCCACATAAAAATGTCCAAATAACTAAACTATTTACTCAACATCTGTGCAGAGTGACATCAAAGCTTTGAAAAAACCTGATGAAATATTGAAACCTGACAGACTCCACAGGTCATCTCCAGCTGATGAGCAGAGGCTGGTCTTCTACTGAAGTGCTCCAGACCCTTCAGCCTCTGACCTGTGAAATAACAACCACAGAGATTTTAACCCTGACTTCTGTTGGTTAAACACAGCTTATAATACTTTAACAGGGATAAAGTGAAAGCCCATCACCTCCTGACCCCTCACGTGACGCTTCAGGACCCACACAAGAGTCACAACACAAATGACCTAAAAAACTAAAATAAAAAATCACTGGCAGCCCGTCTTATAAGAATATCAATCAAAATGTACAGTTTTAGGCTTGTCAAAGTTTTAAGATACGGTTGTTTTTTGTCATATTCTTTAGCAGAACTTGGAACAGTGAAGTGGAAAATTTCAACAAACTATAAATAAAAACAAAAATGTCCTGTTGGATTTCAAGGTTTTTTATTGTCATTTGCTTCACATGTGGTACATGAGGTGGAATGAACTTGTGTACTCAAGGTCCCAGTTACATCCAACAATAGCAAAAATATAAAGTATACAAAAAGAAACGGTATACAAGAATCTAAGATATATGCTAAAAAATAATACTGTACTGTAATATAATACAGTATATTAAACAGCGGCCTGAACATGAGTCTGTAGTGAGCAGATGGGTATGAATATATCGGCTTAAATGCAAGAGATCAGCAGCATGGATAATCAGCAGCACAGAAAGTGTCAAATCTCCAATTAAAGTGACATTACAGTGATTTTTGGTTAGAGATTCATGAGTCTAACAGCCTCAGGGTAGAAGCTGTTCCTCAGTCTAGGGGGAGTGGTGACGCGGGCTTTGGAGAGGGTGGGCCTGTGATCGGAGGATCGCCAGTTTAGGCCCCGGTACTAACAGCATCAGGGGTGTGGGTGGGGTGGGTGGGGCGCCCCCGCCCTCATTCGTCCCACTCTGGACCCTTGGCCCCCACCATCTGCTCCTCCGGGTGTCCTAGATATCAGCTCTCTGCTCCACACAGAGGGCTGTGGTAGCTCGGTGGTCCGTGGTTGCGTCAGGAAGGGCATCCGGCGTAAAAATAACTGCCAAGTCTTCACGTGACTTTGTTCGCTCTGGAGACCCTTAACGCAGGGAGCGCCAAAAGAAGGGAAAAAAAAACTGCCTGAGGGGAGTGGGGCAAAAAGTGTGTGTGCTGGGTAAGTGGGGTCCTTCATGATGCAGGTGGCCCTCTTCCTGCATCTGGAGGTGTAGATGTCTGTGATGGTGGGGAGAATGACTCCAACAGACTTCTGTGCAGCCTTCACCACTCTCTGCAAAGCTTTTCTTTCTGCAGCTGTGCAGCCTCCATGCCACACGTTGATGCTGGAGCACAGGATGCTCTCTATTATAATAATAATAATAATAATAATAATAATAATGAGACAGTGAGGTACACTCGGCGTGTTAAATGTCATTCCACACCCTGGCGTTTTAATATTTACATGAACGTTCGCAGATACGAAACAATTCTTGTTCAACCATCTCTGTCCCAGAAACACCATGACACCTCCACATCTGACACCGACTAGTCCCAGCTGATGAAACCAAACTACTAAATATTAGTTACAATGTTTAGGCCCAGGTGGTACGGTGGCTCATTTGGTAGAGCTGCTGCCTCTCAGCGAGAAGGTCGCCGGATCAAATCCTGGCCGGGAGACCCTTCTGGTTGGAGTTTGCATGTTCTCTCCGTGCATGCGTGGGTTTTCTCCGGGTACTCCAGTTTCCTCCCACAGACAAAAAACATGCATGTTAGGCTGATTGGTAACTCTAAATTGTCTCTAGGTGTGAGTGAGAGAATGAATTGTTGTTTGTCTCTATGTGTCCCTGTGATGGACTGGAGACTTGTCCAGCATGTCCCCTGCCTCTCACACGGTGATGGCTGGACATGGGCATCAGTGACCCCCATAACCTGAAAAGAAAGAAGCGGGTAAAGATAATGTATGGATGTTTAGGCTCATCATACAGTACTAATGTTACTTTTATAAGTGTGGGTAAATGTTGCTTTTTCAGCTCTCGGTGGATTTACGATGCAGTAAAGGGACTCATGATGGATGTGCGTTAGTTTAGCTGTAGGAACTTTGACACAGTGTGGGAGGTGGAGACAGAATGCCACGAGGAGAGCTCCTGTCATTCATTGACTCTTTTCAGGTTCAAACGTTAGAGCAACAGTGGATGAGTATTTGGGAATTGAACACACACACTCCTACACTCTTATCAGTGAACACAAGGTGTGTGAAACTGTGAGGACTGTAAATGTCCCAACATGCACTACCCTGACTGTTACACACGCCTCAAACATCCAGTCTGATGTTCTTTGAAGGCTTTGTAATAATAAGTTTGTTGGCTGGAATAACCCTTCGTCTTTTTCAGGGCAACATGAAGAAAGGATATTCTTTTGAGAAGCGGAGTGCCCGCAGAGAATCCTTTGTAAGTCTGCAGAACGTCAACGGAGCATTCTCGACTTCCTAACACGCTACGTTTGCTGCCTGACATCTCTTCCTCCGCCATTGTTTCGCCTGCATCCTGTGCTTTTGTTCCACGTGTGTTTGATGTCGTTAGCTGGAACTAAATGTGCTTTTTTTTTCATCCTTCAGACAACTCACGCAGCTGATGGGTTTCGATGGAGAACTGAATCTGAAGTGTCCATTCCAGAAGAGGTTGTTGCTAACAGCAAAGACGTGGTCCACCACCCCTCTCTGTTCGGGAAATACCAGCACAGCCTGCAGGCTCTTAAGCCCTTCCGCTGGTCGTCTTCACAGTCAGTTTAGACATGAATGTAAATACTGAGCGATGAACATTCAAGTCCTCGAGTATTAAAAGGCCATTCTTCATGTCTAGATCCCACCCTGTGGACAATGCCGGCTTCTTGTCCTTTACAACTTTTGCCTGGATGACCCCCATGATGTGGTCCATATTCAAAAACAGGCTGGACATGTCCTGCCTTAGCCTGTCTCAATTTGATGCAGCTGACACCAGTGGAGACAGGTCATGGTCTTTTTTGTCCCTTTTCCCATTTCTATTAGTGGATGAAATAAATCCGCTAATATTTGTGTCTGCAGAGCTGGAACTCTTTCTTTCAGCATCTGGTTTTGAAAACTTTTGTTGGATCTGATCCTCTGTTGGTTTCTTCAGGCTGCAGAGACTCTGGGAGGAAGAGGTGGAGAAGAAAGGCCTGGAGGATGCCTCGCTGGTCCGAACGGTCCTTCGTTTTCAGAGAACCAGACTCATCCTGTCAGTCGTCATCGGGATCCTGGCCATGGTGGCGGCCTTTTTTGGCCCGGTGAGTCCGTCACAGCTCCTCCTCCTGTCAGGAGCGCTACTGTTCTTCATTTACAACAACCACTGTGAAGCTGTCTGATTTAAAAACTGCATTAAAAAACTGTGAGCAGATAGTCACAAAAATAACAGAGCTTGTGTGAAAACAAAAAAAATATTTAAGTGACTTAAAGGTTGTTTTTAGCACTGTTTGCTGGTAATTAGTGAGGTTTATTGTTGTTTTAGCAGAATGTTTCTTAGTAAAAATGGTAAAAACAGCATGTTTCATTTTAAAAAGAGGTTTTCATCACTCCTGAATGAAAAAAGGCAACATTTATTAACTTGAAAGACAGTTTTATTTTGTGCACGCAACTTATTGTGGGTGTCTGAACATTTTGTTTCTTGTAATCATTCAAAATGACTTAAACGCTGATTTCACATCCATTTGATCCCTGTTCTGAAATGTTGTCCTTGTAAACTGGCTCGCACCACCTGCACCTGCTGAATGTCATGCTGGGTGTATTTAATCAATGATTTAAAACTGTTTACAACTCATTTTCCTGCATTTCCATCCCATTTTTAACCATTTAAGTGTAAACTCATTCAAACTCTATGTGAAATGCATCACTTTTCTAATTATGAAATCCTTTTTCAACCAGGATGTTTTTTTACGTCTCTAACACTGTATGTTGTCTACTTCCCTCAGTTGTTTCAACCTGCTAACAAAATAAGAACTGTGGAGCTCATTTTGTGGTTTGAAAGTGTAAAACTACAGAGTAACTATTAACTCCTGATGGTTGATGAGTTGAAGGAAAAGCCCTGCAGAGAAAAACTCCGTGATCCATTTAACTCGGGTTAATTTGGCTGTAAACATTCTGCCTGTGTCCATTCTACACTCTAATGAAATTTCACTTGACAAATAAATATTTTGTGGTGGATAATAATAATAATAACTAGAGAAATTGCATTTCCTGCAAAAATGCAGTGTGAATGCTTAGAAAAACTTGCTGAAAACAGATTAAATTAGCTTTAAAAAGTACTGAAATGTAGCTGAAATGAAGGAACAAGCCTAAATTAGCAGAAGAAAGCAGAAATAACACATTTTTACTGAATTAGATTTAAATTAGCAGAAATGAGCACAAAAATTAGAAAGTCAGCTAAAAAATAGCTTAAATTAGCAAAAATAATAGCTAAAAAAGTAGCTGAAAAGGTAGAACAAGCTTAAATTAGCAGAAGAAAGCAGAAATAACATGTTTGTCTATTTAGGATGAAATAATGTGAAATGAGCACAAAATGTGGAAATAACCTGAACATTTTGAAATTAGAAATACATAGCTGAAAAGTAGCTAAAAGGGCAGAAAGAAGCTTAAATTACCAGGAGAAAGTGGAGAGAGAGCACATTTTTGTTGAATTAGGCTGAAAAAAGTTGAAATGAGTGCAAAAAAAAGTGTAATTAGCTGAAAAAGCTTAAATTAGCATCATAGCTAAATAGTTGCTGAAATAGCACAAAAAGCTGAAATTGGCAGAAAGAAGTTAGAAGAACCACAAAAATGTTGTAGAGAGCAGAAAGAATCTGAAAGGAGCACAAGACCTCTGAAAAAGCAGCTGAAAATAGCTGAAAGAAGCTGAACCAGAACAAAAGATTGTAAATGGATTTAAAGGATGTAAAATGAGCTCAGTTCATTTCCTATGAGGAAAAAACAGCAGAAAAGGCTAAATATTTCAAAAAGCTAAAGTTGCATCAATACCAAAAGCCATAGCTCCTGAAAGAGCTTAACGTTTTGATGTTGTTGAAATAACTTGAAAACTGCAGGACGAGAATTGTGCCGAAAAGCGTACGGAAGAAAATGGATTGCAGCAGTGTGAATGTTTCATAAACGTTCTCACAATAAAACATTGTCCCTGTGAGTTCAGCTCAGTTTAACATTCTGAACGATCACCTGGAATGAGTTTTATCCTCACAGGAGTGGCCTCCTCTGTGGACATCCTGAACCGTTTGATGGGTCTAAAGCTAGAATCAGAGCCTTGGAACAAAAGCTCATAATCAACATTTACTGAAGATGTGTATTTTTGATCAGAGGGAGTGAAGGTGACCTGCTGAATGAAGACCAAGGCAGACTGAAACTGCTCTGATACTTTTATTTGGCTCCATCTTGACAACTTTAAAAAACACACAGAAGGATGTAATGTTTGTAATTCAGTTTAGTGTAAAGTGCAACACCTCACAAAGGTTGAAGGATAAATAAAATGTTACCTAAGACTAACTTAGGCACTAAAGTAAATAAATCTACATAATTTTCAGAATCAGAATCAGAATCAGAATGCCTTTATTGTCATTATACACAGTACAATGAAATTAAGAGCCACTCCTTTTTCCAGTGCAAAAACACGCCTTAAGAAAGCTCACATTAAACACACACTAAAAATATAAAAAATGTAACGCAGTATAGATATAATAATGAAAGTAAAAAATACAAGTATTACACAATTGTATTGCACATTATGGATATTAGTGAGGTAGTTAAGGTGATTGAGAGTATGAAATGTCAGTAGTATTGCAAACAACAATTTTACTGCAAATATTAACTCGTGTGTTGTAAATACATATAAATGTATTTCTCTGTGAACTATTGACGTACCCTGTCAGCACAAAATCCCACTATCAGATCTTTACTAAGATGTTAAAGTGGAATCATTTTAAGATAAATGAAATTATTTAGTAAAAACCTGATGAAGTCCTCTCTATCTTTGTGTCTCTGTTCCGTCAGGCTGTCCTGGTCTACCAGATCTTAAATTATATTGAAACCCCAGAGGGGTCCACGGTGACCGGTGTTGGTTTGTCTGTGGCTCTGTTCACCTCTGAGTTCTGCAAAGCTTTCTTCATATCGTTGATGTGGGCGATCAACCTGCGCACGGCGGTCCGAATGAAGGGAGCCTTCTCCACGATGGCCTATCAGAAGGTCATCTCTTTGCGGGTGCACAGCAGCATTTCAATGGGCGAGGTAAACGTGGACGTACTCTGTGGCTTCAGAAAGTATTCAGCTTTGCAGCTTGATGCCGCAATTGTTTAAATGATTTTTTTCTTAACATTTCACACTCAGGACCCTCATATTAGAAAAAAACTGACAAAATATTTACACTCTTATGACTTTATTAAAAATAAAAAACAGAAATATTACTTTTAAACAATCGACCACTGACGTTCTGGAGCCTGTTCTGTGGTGAAAGGATTTGTGGTGGAAGTGGTCTCCAGCTACAAATAATTGGGTGTGCACCTGAACGACAACCTCAGCTGGAGCAACAACACCACCAGCCTGATCAAGAAAGTTCATCAGACTCTACTTCCTCAGACGGCTGAGGCGAGCTGGTCTGGGAAGCTCAGTCCTCACCTCCTTCTACAGGTGTGCAGTGGAGAGCATCTTGTGCTCCAGCATCAATGTGTGGCATGGAGGCTGCACAGCTGCAGAAAGAAAAGCTTTGCAGAGAGTGGTGAAGGCTGGACAGAAGATGTTGGAGTCAGTCTCCCCACCATCACAGATATCTACACCTCCAGATGCAGGAAGAGGGCCACCTGCATCATGAAGGACCTCACTCACCCAGCACACACTTTTTGCCCCACTCCCCTCAGGCAGGAGATTAAGGAGCATTAAATGTAGAACCACTAGACTGAGGAACAGCTTCTACCTTGTGGCTGTTAGACTCATGAATCTCTAACCAGAATAACCACTGTAAAGCCACTTTAATTGGTGATATGTCACTTTATCTGTGCTGCTGATTTCTTACATTAAGCTGCTACATTCATACCCATCTGAATGACAATAAAGAACTTTGAACCTCTCTGAGGAGACCTGAAAATGGCTCCACCGACAGTTTGCATCCTGAGCTGAAGTCAAGTTTATTGTCATACGCATCACATATGGTACATGAGGTGGAATGAAATTGTGTATAAAAGAAACAGTAAATAAGGATCTAAGATATACACTAAACAAATGCCAAACAGTACGCTAAAAGCTCTAAGTTATACGCTAATCACTAATAATGTAAACCAATATGGCATAACAACAGCATCCCGGACATGAGTCTGGGGTGAGTAGATGGGTATGAATGAATACAGCAGCACGAGATCAGCAGCACGAGATCAGCAGAATGCATAATCATCAGCACAGATAAGTCACATATCACCAATTAAAGTGGCATTACAGTGATTAAATAAAAATTACAATGATTATCCTGTTTAGAGATTAATGAGTCTAACAGCTTCAGGGTAGAAGCTGTTCCTCAGTCTAGTGGTTCTACATTAAATGCAGAAGAGGATTTGCAAAGAATAACAGAAACCTAACTAATCCAGGTGTGCAAAGACTCACTTCTAAAAAAGCCAACGATGATTCAGCTCAGCTCTAATTAAAACCTCTGAATACTTTAAAATAATCTATTATAGCTTTTCAAACAATTTTCAATGCCCTTCTTTAAGGACGTAGCTTTTAAAAGCTATTTTTTTCTTATAATCTTTTCAAATTTCCTCTGCTCCTCTTCGTCACGTCCAGATGATAAACATCCTGACCAACGACGGCCACAGACTGTTTGAGGCGGTCGTGTTTGGGAGCTTCGTTCTCTCCACCCCGGTGCTCTTCATCGTGTGCATCGTGTACTCCTGCTATGTGCTCGGTTTCACCGCACTGACCGGAGTCTGCACCTACCTCGTCTTCGTCCCCGTACAGGTCAGCTACTCCATATAAGCAGATAAAAATCAGTTTTACTAGACATGTTACAGTAAGAGCCTCAAAGCAGCAGCTGAAACTTTTAGTTGCTTTAACCCATCATCTGAGGCGCACCAAGGGTTTTACTTTGCTTCGCCAGGAATGCAAAGTAATGAGTGTTTTTGCGTTTTTCCTCCTTGCAGTTTTACTTGGCCAGACTCATTAACAAGTTCAGAGGGAAAGCCATGCAGATAACGGACAGCCGAGTTCGCACAATGAACGAGATCCTCAGCAGCATCAAGCTCATCAAGATGTACGCCTGGGAGGAGTCGTTTGAGAAGAAGATCGCAGGTAAACCAGCTGCTTGCACAACCCTTCACTTAAGAGATTTTATTTGTAAGTTTGAAGAAGGAAAAAAAAGCTTCTCACGTTGTTGAATCATCACAAACTTGATGGGGTTTCAGTGCTCGTCTGACCCAGCATTCTTTTTAAAACAATAATTAAATGTAAATGCAATTTAAAGGCACAGCCAGAGTGACACCAACAGATAAATATTAAGGCCCCCACATACTCGGGCGTACTTCACTCCACGGAGGTCCATGTGTACTCGAGGCGGACTCAACGCAGACTCGAAGCGGACGTCCGCCAGACATGTCTGCGCAAAGATCAATTTTTATGACCGCGTACGTGTACTCTGTGTCGCACAATAAACTGCTCGTTCTGTTTTGTATGTGACACCAACACAAGGATGCACAGTGCGACTGCTGCTCTGTGTGCAGCGCTGACAGGTGTGCGGTGGCTGCCCTGCGCCCAACTGGTTCATCTAACTTGCTAGAATCCATTTGAAAATATTCCAAATGTTTCTCGCTGTCCATCGTCTTCATGTCCTTCACCAGTGTATTAAATTCCCCTTCTTCATCCCTGGCCTGGTTTAATGGCCTTATGTACCACCTTCTTTTCTTTTCTTTAGTTTTTTTTTTTTTTTGCCAAGAGGCAAGCAATCTCTTCCCCCTCATCTGTTGACGCCATGACGGAAATTGTGAGAAATGAATGAATTTGTCATGAGAGAATTTTATCTGTACGCTCAAGTTTTAAGACGCAACCGTGTGCAGACAGTACGCACGGAGTCCGCGTGGCTCGCGGAGTCCACAATGATGAACGTTGACCAGCTTTTAAAACATGCTGCCAGCATCCAATTCAATCAGGTGTCATATATTTAACAAAAAATGCTAACTTTTGGATATTTAAACTTTTAAACGTTCTCTTTTTGTTATTTCTCTTGATAGAATCTCACACAGGGGTCGAGATGGGGTAGAGGTAGGGCAGCCAACTCGGGACCTGAAAGTCCCAGGCTCGATCCCCAGTCGTTCCCACATGTTGTGTTGTCCCTGAGCAAAACGCCCAATCCCTAATTGCTCCCCGGGTGCTTGCATAGCTGCCCACTGCTCCACCTGGGTGTATCACAGGTGCGATGGGTTAAATGCAAAGAACCAATTTTGCCATTGTATGGGAACATACAGTGATGACAACACATAGCAACTTACTTTATTACAATGTGACGTTGTGTGCAGATGGCAAAAATAATTCACATAGGCCTAAGTGAGAAAATTACTGAAATTACTCAAGTTCAAGAATCTTTATTTTCCTCAAGGGGCAATTTGTTTCACAGACCGTAAGCACACAAAACATCCATACTAGACAAGACATTAAGACATTAAAATAACAGTACAGCGATCATCATTGTTCGTTGAGAAGCCTGATCACTACAGGGATGGATGAGTTTTTCAGTCTGTTCTGGGCAGCACCTGCATCCAGATGGACGCAACCATGGAGTGGTGATCAGGATCTGCCAGAATCAGCCCGGCCTTGTTCACTGACCTCGCCTTGTGTAGGTCAGTGAGGTTCTCTAGGGCCATGCCAGCAGTTTTGCTGCACATCCTGACAATTCCCAAGAGTTTGTTCCTGGTTCCTGGTGTGTTGGGCCTAAGTATGATGCAATCCTGCCATGTTTCATATTTATTTTTAGGATCCACTCTTTATAGCTCTTTACATCATGAGAAACTAGTTCCTAGTTTATTTTAATAAAAGCCTGAGGGATCTGAAAAGTATTTACATAAATCCCGTTTGAAGGTGTTCATGGTAAACTCATCTACAAGTTAATTTTCTCTCTCCCTCTTTAATAGGATTAAGAAAAACTGAAATGAAACAGATCCAGTGGGTCAGTTACATCCAGAACATAAACACCAGCATCACCAGCATCATCCCCACCCTCGCCACCGTCCTCACCTTCCTGGTTCACACTTTGCTGGGTCTGCCGCTCGGCACGTCCGATGTGAGTACAGTAGAGCTGTGGGAGAGGAATGACAACATGGATGGGTCAGCGTGTCACACGGATCACATCCACTGAAGTGCTAAAACCACTACGATCTGTCAGTGACGAACACCTTGGGTTTGTGTTGTTATAAATGTCTCTCTCGTTTTCAGGCCTTTACTACAATCGCCATTTTCAACTCCATGAGGTTCTGCCTTGCTCTAATGCCACTGTCTGTGAAGGCCGTAGCTGAAGCTGCCGTCTCCATTGCTCGACTGAGGGTAAAACCTGCCATCTATAATCTGCCTAAAGTTTGTTGCAAATGCTACAGTTTGTCTTTAACTGGGGATGCATTGTTTTTCATCTCACAAACACACAAAACACATAAAATGAATGCATCGTTCCTTGAAAGAATGCAAACTGCCCACCGCTTTTTGTGTCAGAGTTTTAAACTAAGATACGTTTAGCTGAGGATCGGCGGAGTTATACGTTTGGTTAAATAGTTTTATTTATTTTTTTTATTCAGAAACTTTTGCTGGTCCAGAACCCAGAGCCCTACCTGACGCAGAAGGACAGCCATTCAGCGATAGTGATGAAAAACGCCACACTCTCCTGGAGCAAACCAGACCAACAGCCGGAACCCCCCGCCTGCCCGGACAATCAGCTTAAAGGACACGGGATGACAAACGGGATGTCCAAGACGGGAGACACTGATAATTTGCCAACCCTGAGAAACGTCTCCTTCACGCTGCCGAAGGTCTGCAGTTCTTCTGATGAGAATAAACAAGGTTATCTCTGATGTACCAAAGGTCTACTGAAGGTCTCTGTCTTCCTGTAGGGCAACCTGCTTGGCGTCTGTGGAAACGTGGGGAGTGGAAAGACGTCTCTCATTTCCAGTGTCCTGGAGCAGGTTGTTCGTCTTAAACTCTTGTCTCTTGCTTTGTTAGCATCTGCATCTCTGTTCCACTAAAATAAACAGGATAGTTTTCAACTTTTCTCTGAAATGACAAATTTGTCCATTAGGACTTTTTTTTAAATTGTGTGAATGTTTATGAAGCATTCACACTATTGCGATACATTTTTCTTCTGTATGTTCTTCAACGTCTTTCTTGTTCCTCAGTTTTTGTGCTTTTTACACAAATCAACAAATTACTTTTAGTATTGGTGCAACTTGAACTTTTTGAAATATTTTTGTCTTTTCTGCCACTTTTTTCTCAAAGAAACTGAACTGAGCTCATTTTACATTCTTCAAATCTTTACATCTGTTTACAATCTTTTACTGCTCCTTTCACATTTTGTTCTGGTTCTGCTTTTTTCAGCTTCCTTGTGCAAACAAACTTTTTTCAGCTACTTTCAGGTGTTTTCAGCTGTTCATCTGTTTTGTGCTCCTTTCAGATTCTTTCTGCTAACTACAACGTTTTTGCGCTTCTTCTTACTTCTTTCTGCAAATTTCAGCTAGTTATGCTCTTTTCAGCTTATTTATGCAAGTTGTTTTTAAGATAATTTTAGTTTTTTCAGCTAATTCCACATTTTTTGCACTTGTTTCAACGTTTTTCCAGCCAGAAAATGTGATTTCTACACTTCCTCCTTGTAATTTCAGCTTCTTTTTGCTTTTTAGGCTACTTTTCAGCTGTTTTTGGGGCTAATTTCACCTTTTTTCAGATAATTTCCACTTGTTTGTGCCCATTTCTGATTCTTTCAGCCTAAATGGAAAAATGTGTTTGTTCTGCTTTCTTCTGCTAATGTAAGCTTGTTCTAACTTTTTTGGCTTGTTTTTTTTTTAGCAAATTTCAGCTGTTTTCAGATAAATTCAAGTTTTCTTGTAAATGTCTGCTACTTTCAGCCCAATAACAGTCTAATAATGGTAATTTCAGCTTGTTATGCCCCTTTCAGCTTTTCCTGATCTTTCAGCTACCATTTAGCTCTTTTGATGCTAATTTTAGCCTTTTCAGCTAATTCCACATTTTTAAGCGCATTCTATTTCTTTTCACTTCCTTCTGGTAGTGTAAGCTTCCTTTTGCCTTTTCTGCTATTTTCTTTTTGTTGTTGCAAATTTCAGCTTTTTTAAGCCAATTTTTCTTAATTTTTGTGCTCATCTCTGTTTACTGAAATCTTATTCCTCAATTGTTCTTTCTGCTTTCTTCTGCTTTAGGCTTGTTCTTCCATTTCGGCTATATTTCAGCATGTTTTTTTTTTTTTTTTAGCTAGGTTCAGCTGTTTTTCAGCAAGTTCTTCTGCAATAAGCATTCACACTGCATTTTCACAGGAAATGCAACTTATCTAGTTTTAGTTGTTTTACGGCCATCTCTTTGTGTCTCCAGATGCATCTTCTTCAGGGCTCCATCACAGCTGATGGGACATTTGCGTATGTTTCCCAGCAGGCCTGGATATTCCACGGGACAGTTCAAGAAAATATCCTGATGGGGGAACTTTTTGACCAGGCCAAGTAATTAATCAAACTGTTGTCCTCACTCCATTGTGACTTGACTGCAGCTGAATGTGGCAGAATGGAAGAATAAGTGGTGCTGAGTGATTGTCCCCTGTCCTGCACTGACACAGAATGTAAATAGAAGTCTCTGCTAAGATTATTTTTACACACTCTGAGGTTATCTAACATGAAATGTTTAACAGAGAGAAAGTGTAGTCTCTGTGACGTCACAGCTTGTGAAGTAGGTGACATGAGGTTATCTCTGTTATCTGTCAACTTTATACACAGAAGAATCCGCTTCGTGTTGCCAGAGATGGTGAAAGATTCACTGCTCGTGTGCGTACAGCGTAGACTTTATGAACGGTTTATTGCTGTTGCGTCACAAGAATACCCATAAAACACAAGAAACTGCATATGCAAAGTGATTTGAATGGTTCCATTAAAAGTGCTTCCTAAGGTGAAACTGTCTTTAAAACCAGGTTAATTAAAAACTTACTGGACATGTTACAATGTCTCTTTGATTGATTTACAGTTTTTAAGTTAGTTAAATGTGCCATTACTCCTCAGTGTCAGCCTAAAAGATGTCCTGCATTGATCCTCCACAGATATGACAGAGTAGTAGATGTGTGCAGCCTCAGAGCTGATCTGAAAATCCTGCCATGCGGTGATCAAACTGAGGTGAGTGATCCTTTCGTCGTCTCTTTCCTCAAATGCTCCTGTTTGTGACCTGAACCACTGAACAGCTGGAGAAAAAAAAAAGTCATCGAGAGTATGTCTTTTGCTCACCATTTTTTATTTTAGTGTTTTAAACAAAGATTGTTTTATGCTGAAATATTAAAACGGGAAATTGTAAATTTTGTGCGATCTGTTGGTGCTTTGAGCATGTGTTGGGGATGACGCTCAGCTACTACCTTAAAATTCTACTACATCTGTAAAACTCACTCAGAAAGTGAGTCATTTCTGTGTTTGCTAAGGTTTATTAGCCATGTCGGCCATCTTGAATTGGGCTGACCATCCATCCATCCATTATCTTTACCCGCTTATTCCATTTTGGGTCACGGGGGTCGCTGGTGCCCATGTCCAGCAATCACTGTGCGATGGGCGGGGTACACCCTGGACAGGTCACAAGTCCATCACAGGGCCACATAGAGACAAACGAGACAAACAACCATTCACTCTCTCACTCACACCTAGGGACAATTTAGAGTTACCAATCAGTCTAACATGCATGTTTTTGGTCTGTGGGAAGAAACCGGAGTACCCGGAGAAAACCCACGCATGTACGGAGAGAACTTGCAAACTCCACCCAGAAAGGCCCCTGGACCGGGGTTTGAACCAAGGACCTGCTCGCTGAGAGGCAGCAGCTCTACCAGTTGCGCCACCGTGCTGCGAATTGGGCTGACCATAAAAGTTAATTAGTTGTTCATCCAACGCTTACTGCCTGAGAGTTTCATGAAAATCTGTTCAGTGGTTCATGAGATATTTTAGTAAGACATTCAAATGAACATGGTCGCAAACACTTCGTCACTCACGGACAAAAGGCGGATGATAATGTGTTTGTCTGCTAGAGGTTTAAATAAAAATTAGCTTGGGCTGTTCATTTATCTGCTACACATTCCCTTGTGATTGAAAACAACAGAGACAATATTTTGATGTACAAAAGTTACAAAGTAAACAGAAGAATCAAAGTTAAAGTCCAGGTGTTTCTGCTGTCCCCTGCCGCTGAGCAAAGAGGGGAACTGGAAATGCCATCGGTCCGTCTGTCTTGTGAGCTTAATAACTTGAAAAATAAGTGCGATACCAACTTCCAATTTGATGTGTGGCTGCGTCTGGGCCTAAGAAATACTCCTTCCGCAAACTGGGTTGCTGTGTTAAAATTCAAGATGGAGACTGCCATTAATACATGTAAACCTGCCCACCTTGATCTTTTGAGGAAATTATGCTTTCTAACAACAAAAAAGGTTGAATCATGTCATCTGGACTTCGTTTTTTTTGTTATAACAAAAAAAACGAAGTCCAGATGACATGATTCAACCTTTTTTGTTGTTATATACCTGGATGACTGAGAAAACAAACTTTGTGATTATGCTTTCTAGTTTTTATATTGCTTAAAAGTATAAACAACAAAAAAGGCTAAATCATGTTGACCAGTTTCTTTAAGTGAAAAACGATTCGTCCCCCATCGGGAGGACTTCGTCAGTCTACGGCCTGCCGACCAGATCTGTCCCATGAGTAGCCTTCATTGCTGTGTTTCAAGCCAAGCAATCTCAGCAGGAGGCTTTTAACACATGCAAACAGAGCACACCCATCCAAAACAATCTATCATCATGTACAACAAATGTTTTAGGCCAGATGGCCAACTTGCTACTCGCATAAACAGCCTGGGGACAGATCTGGTTGGCAGGCCACAGACTGACGAAGTCCTCTGGATGTGGGATGAAACGTTTCTCGCTTTTCTTTAACCATTTTTGTTGTCATCTACCTGGTTGATTGAACTTACAACCCTTCTTAAAATGATAGTTTTCTCAAATGACTAGGGCAGATAAAGATTAATATGTGATGGCCAGTGCCACCATTGGCCACCCCCTGACTCCACCACTGCATCTGGTTGATAAAATTGCTCCCGCCACTCGTCAGAATCTGTCACTCTGCGCCGCCTCAGACAAGAGGAAAACCCCACCTCTGTTCGTATGCAGTGTAACTCCTACCAACTTGACTGTCTTGCACCAAAAACATTAAGGTCTACTTGCATTCCCTGTTCAGTTCCAGTCCAGAAGAACACTCCTCTCCAAAACTGCAAACATTCACTCTTCAAATTTCTCAGCAACGGGAGACATCGGCGTACCGCTTGTTTTCCTGCATATCTGAAGCCAGAGGTTCTCAGAATAATCTCTACCTTCTGGTGTTTTGTTGGCAGATTGGAGAGAGGGGTCTGAATCTGTCAGGAGGACAGAAGCAGAGGATCAGCCTGGCCAGAGCTGTCTACTCCAACAAGGACATCTTCCTCCTCGATGACCCGCTGTCCGCCGTCGACGCCCATGTGGGAAAACACATTTTTGAAAAATGCATAAAAAAGAAGCTTCAAGGAAAATCTGTCATACTAGTTACACACCAACTCCAGGTGAGACTGTAAACATGGTTTTATTCTGCAGCTGCCCAGTTTCTGTTCTTGAAGTATTTGAGTGTCTGAAGTGAGCAGATCAAAATTTCAAACACAAAGTCGCTCTGTCACGTTGTACAAAGGAAGAAGCGAGTAAAGATAATGGATGGATGGTTGGATGGTTGGATGGATGTTGTGGACCCACTGTCTGAAATTCTGTTGGTGACTCAGATAAGCTCCAGTCATTCAGCTCACAGGTGAGCTGTTCAGTCTCCACCACGAATTCATCTCCATCCACAGATTGGAAATGGAAAATCACAACTCTTGTTTTCTAAGCTCATCTTACAAAATATACGTTATCTTAAATATTTTATTTAATTGAGAACAACAAATAATAATCCAGTCCAAATTTACTTGATAAGCCACTTTTCTTGAGACAAACTTAACATGTGAAGGTCACAGTTAAAGTAAAATTCTTCAACGGCTCATTTCATGTTTTATGAAATCATCAATCTGCCAGTGATTGACAGAAAGGAACTGACGTTAATGTTTTCCTCACAAGTTGTTCCTGTCATGCAGACATCTTTAATCTGGAGCCGTTTTACCAAAACGTGATTGTATAATTAATTAAGGCCACGGTTATTAAACTGACTGTGAAGCGGAGGCAGCGACCAGGTGGTGCATTTAGGTTTAAGAACAAAGTCCGTTCTAACCTGTGGTGCTGCTAATTCTGTTGCCTCCATGACTTGAGCTTTTAAACTTTGTCACCTGACCAGAATAACAATATATTTAAAGTAACTTTTAAACAAAATGATAAAATAATCTGCTCTTTGAAAAATGTTATTTGTTTCTTCACAATGGTTCCCTCCAAAACGTTCACTGCACTGGTCCAAAAGGAAGAGAAGAGGAAGTCGTGCTGTTTAAGAGTCAATTTTAAAGTCAGACTTGTTAATATTTAGTGTAGTGTGTGCTCTGTTTGGAGTGTTTTCTAGCGTGAGCTCCTTTCCTGTAAGGTTTGTGGACGTGTTTTAATCTGATATTTATCTTTTCTCTTGAAGTATTTGGAGTTCTGCGATGACATCATGGTTCTGGAGGACGGGGAAGTCCGTGAGGCTGGAAACCATCAAACGCTGATGAAAGTCAATGGACGCTATGCTCAGATGATCAGCAACTACCAGATGGAACAGTCCAAAGTGAGAGCGTCACAAATGTTTATTGATTTATTTCCCTTTAATGCAGCCATGATCCCTCCTCTTGTTGTTGTTTTTATTGATTTACAACTTCAGTGGCAGTGAAGAGAACGGTCAGCTGCAAAATGACGATGCTGCCTTGTCTAAGCTCAACAACAAGCTGTAACTCTGCTCTCGATGTTTTCCATCAGACTCAGAAAGAAAAGGAGGAGGATTCAGTCGAAGATGCTCCGGAGTTGGAAGAGCTCAGGCAGCGTGCTGACAGTGGGATAGTGAACCCCGGTATGAAAGCAAGGAGAGCAACTTCTTTTATTTTTTAAACTTTGGACGCTTCATTTCAGATGCAGAGAATGAAAAATAAGATTAAGGCCGCAGTCGGAAATTTGTGGTGTTTTTTTTTTTTTTTTAAGGAATAAATCCCTGGAGACGGTTTATAGATGAGAATCTGTCGTGTGCACTTTGTAGACATAAAGACTATAAGTAAAGGCTAAACTGTGACCAGGAAGATGTTGAAGGTTGAAACCTATAGCTTTGCAAAGCTGATAAGAGCAAACATTAAATCAGACTTTTACTGCTCTCTGCTGGTCTCATAACATTTTAGCTTCTTGTTTACTACAGAAAGATGGAGGTAAAAAAAAGAGTAAAGCAAGTAAGAAAAATAAATCTGCACCTGAGTTTTACGGTTAGGACTCAGAGTTGGTTTACTGTTAGGAACAAATGTTAAACTGTATACCAGCCATGAATATGCACAGCTAAATAAAATCTTTGCCATGTTTCAGCATTCGACATGTCAGATGAAAAGGAGGATGGAACGACAGCCAATCAAAAGCGTGAGTCTGCTGAACTGTCGTGCTCGCGTCTTATCTGATGTAGCATGAGAAAACATTTTAGGAAACTACTGCATTGTCTTGTTATTTAGGGATACTTTTTTATACTTTCCTTCAAGGGTTACAATTCTGAAAAAAGTGTTTTTACTCCACAAAATGTTTAAAACACATTTTTAAATAGACTATTCCATACAATATTTATACTGCTGGGCTTTTTTAGTATCAACTTAAGTTTTCAAAGCTTTTCTTCACTGCTAAGAATCACATTTAAAAGATTCAATTCACTTATTTTAAACAATTAAACTTGTGGGTACTGTGCAGAGTAGGATGAGTTTATGAGAAATGTTTTAGTATTTGTCCTAAACAAGTATCTTGTTAATGAAAAGGAAAAAGGGACGTTTTTCCTCTGAAATGTCTTCACAGGAAAGTTTGTGATAGAATAAAATACTGAAACTAGGGAAATTGCATTTCCTGTGAAAACGCAGTGTGAATGCTTATTGCATTAGAACTTGCTGAAAAATAGCTGAAATTAGCTAAAAAAAAAAAACATACTGAAATGTAGCTGAAATGGAAGAACAAGCCTAAGTTAGCAGAAGAAAGCCAAATAACACATAATTGCTGAATTAGGTTTAAATAAGCAGAAATGAGAACAAAAATTGAGAAATTAGCTCAAAAAGCTGAAAATAGATTAAAAAGCTGAAAAGTAGCTGAAAGGGCAAAAAGTTTAAACTAGCAGAAGGAAGTGGAAAGAACTGAAATTAGCTAAAAAAATGTGGAATTAGCTAAAAAGAAAAGCTAAAATTAGCATCAAAGTAGCTAAATAGTAGCTGAAAGAGCAGAAAAAGCTGAAACTAGCAAAAAAAAAAGCTGATAGGAACATAACAAATTTAAATTAGCATAAAGAAGTTAATTAGGCTGAAAGTAGCAGAAATTAATGTGAAAATTTAGAATTTAGCTGAAAACAGCTGAAATTTTCTTTAAAAAATTCTCAAAAGTTAGCTGAATAGTTGGAACAATCTTAAATTAGCTGAAGAAAGTAAAAAGAACAGTTGCCCAAATATGCTGAAAAAAGCATTAATGAGCACAAAGAAGTGGAAATTATTTTGGGGGGGGGGGGGGGGGGGGATTAGCAACAACACCAAAAAAAAAAAGCTCAAAAGTATAGCTGTAAAAGCAGAAAAGAATTATCAGAAGTTGAGAGAGCATATTTTTGCTGAATTAGGCTGAAAAAAGTTTAAACATGCAAAAATCTAGAATTAGCTGAAAAAGCTAAAATGAGCATAAAAACAGCTAAACAGTAGCTGAAGTTCTCCTCCTCCACCATAACCCTCAGCACTGGCTCTCCTCAGGGATGTGTGTTGAGCCCACTCCGGTTTACTCTGCTCACATATGATTGTGCAGCTACCCTTCCAGGCTGTCATATTGTAAAGTTTGAGAGTGGTGAAGGCTGCACAGAAGTCTGTTGGAGTCAGTCTCCCCACCATCACAAACATTTACACCTCCAGATGCAGGAAGAGGGCCACCTGCATCATGAAGGACCCCACTCACCCAGCACACACACTTTTTGCCCCACTCCCCTCAGGAAGGAGGTTGAGGATCATCAAGTGTAGAACCACTAGACTGAGGAACAGCTTCTACCCTGAGGCTGTTAGACTCATGAATCTCTAACCAGAATAATCACTATGAAAAATCACATCATGTTGCTGCTGATCTGTTTCATGTTGCTGCTGATCTGTTTCATGTTGATGTGTTCATGCGTGCTCATCTGCTCACACAGACTCATGCTCATGTTTGTGCTGCTGTTCGACGTAATGTTTTTATGCTGTTAGTGCTTAGTGTATTTTTAGTTTGTTTTTCTTAGTTCATATCTTAGATGTTACCATTGAACCCGAAAGGAGCACAAAACAGATGAAAAAACAAAAACATCTGAAATTAGCTGAAAGTTGCTGATTTTTTATTTTTTTTAAATTTGCGCGAGGAAGCAGAAAGAAGCTGAAGCTGAACAAAATGTGAAAGGAGCAATAAAGGTTGTAAACAGATCTAAAGATTTGAAGGATATAAAATTAACTCAATTCATTTTCTATTAGAAGAAAAATGTGGCAGAAAAGGCTAAATATTTAAAAACGCTAAAGTTGCACCAATACCAAAAGTCATAGCACCCTTCTCCTGAACGAGCTGAACATTTTGATATATGATGTGCTGAAATAACACAAAAATTGTGGAACGAGAAAGATGCTGAACAACATACATAAGAAAAATGGATCATAATAGTGTGAATGCTTCATAAACATTCATACAACTAAACATGTATCCACAAAATTGTGTAATAAAGTAAGAGAGGAGATTGTTCCTAGTTGTCTTTGGCACTTTTAAAACAACCACATTTTTAGGCGTTTAAGGTGTTTACTCATTTTAAGGTACTTGTATGTAACTAAAGCTGTCAAACTGGTCAACTACCAAACACATCTCTACCACAAACAACCAAACGGTGCCTAACCATCACATTTTAGTTGTTTGTGAATCTCTAATCTTGTCATAATAAAAACTAAATCCTTTTAAATTAAAAACTAACATTCTTCTACCAGAAACAAAGATTACCAGGAACAAGAACGAAAGTACAGTTTGAAATTACTGTGATCTGAAATAACTTTGTGATCCAGTTAGTAAATCTGAAAATAAATTCAGACTAGGAAGGAAAACGAACAGAGGCAGCTTCTGTTCTTTAGAACAAAGAACGAAGCTCAACCCACTAAATAAATCAGTGAAAGAATATTATATTTATCAAACAACATGTAAGTCAGTCAGAAAATCACAGTTTTAGAGCTGAGATGAGTAAAAGACAGAAGAAAGGATGAACAGAGATGCTGAGGAGCTCTGGTGGATGGAAGGAGAGAAGCTGTCAGACTGAATCACATGGTGACGCCTGCAGTATCAACAGGATGTGAACAGCTGTTTACAGACGGCACTTTGAACTCTAAACACTAAGCCACATCTGTGACACCTAATGTTTATTGCTGCTGCACTATGTGGCTGTATCATGTATGTCACGACCTTACCATCATTATTCAGTTCATCTAAATGTACCTGTGCAATTACCTGTCACACAACCTGTGTATACTGTGTTATGTGCATTATATATCATGTGTCATTAAGCAATATGTGAAATACCTGTGAAATACTTATTTATGCTAATTAATCCTACTTGCATCGTTATATTCTACCATGGTGTTTACTGTATTTCTTATGGACCTAGTAAATATATTTTATTTTCACGTTTGGTACTTTATTTTGTACTTTTCTTGCATGCTTTAGGATTGTTTTTTTTTTATTTTTTTAGTGAGTTGAAGTAGTTCTTCTCATCCTGAACATTTAATTTCATTGTTGACCTTGTGTTAACCTTCATTTGACAAATAAACAATAAACTATACTCTGTTCTCCTTGTTAAGCTGCTGAGAAGGTTGATCAGCTGGTCAGTCAGGAGTCCTCCACAGAGGGATCTGTCTCCTGGAGAGTGTACCACCAGTACTGCCAGGCAGTCGGAGGTCAGACAAACACGCACGCACACACACACACACACACATGCATGCCCTGGCATCAGCCTGAGCTATATTGTTCCGTCGGTTGAGTTTCCCTGTATTGCTGCAGGCTACATCGTGTCCTTCCTCACCATCCTGAACATCGTCCTCATGATCGGATCCACAGCGTTCAGCAACTGGTGGCTCAGCCACTGGCTGGAGCAGGGCAATGGGGTGAGAATCACTTTTTTCTTTACATCACTCCCTCTCTTTCCTCCTAATAACAGGTACTCATGAGCTACTATCACCCATATCTGTCTTTTAGGTTACTCAATCTTAAAATATGTGGTAAATGTAACTTTTTTCGACTTTACAGTGAAATGTTGCAGTTGGTCCAGACATTTTGGCCTTCTTTGACCACATTAGACGGTCTTGTACTTTTCTGCCAAACTTAAAAGTTAGATTTTGTTCACAGGCTCTTAACTGTTATAGAGAAATCAGAAAACAATTTGTCACTGGGACCAATATTTCAAAACTGCAAAATAGGCGTTCCGCAAGGTTCCATTGTAAGAACATTGCTTTTCTGTCTGTATGACAAAAAAAAAGGATATGCAGATGATGATGTCATTTATATGTCTGCAAATAATCCACACTAGGCTGCAGAGTTATTAATTATTTTGATTGTTTTTGAGGTCCAAGTAATCCAATCAGTTTTAAAACCTGTGACGTATTTGCACAAACAAGCTGAAAATCTCAGATCAAATGCACCTAAAATGGCATTACTGGATGATGCAGAAGTACAATGAGTAAATCATTTTCTGTTTTGTTAATTTGATATATCTTTCATTTATAAAATTGTCTCTTAAATGTGTTAATGGTCCTTTTTCAGATGTAACGAGTAAAATGATTTTAAAAGCCATCAGTACAGGAGCGAGAACAAGAGGAGCATTTATTGGAAACTGTAGACTAGATACAAAACGTTATTTGGACCATCTTAATTTTTATTTAAAGGTCCATGTTTTCTCTTTGTAGACTTCATCAGCAAACGCCACTTCTAACGCCGGTGATGTCTCACAAAATCCACGCCTGCACTTCTACCAAATGGTTTATGGTGTGATGGTCATCGTCACAGTGGTACTTGCTGTGATCAAGTGCTTCTTTTACACTCACGTCACACTAAGAGCCTCCTGCAAACTCCACGACCGCATGTTCAGGAAGGTACGGTGGCACATCTGAACTCACCACCAGAATCGAACATTTCCCTTAAACAGCTGACGCTGATGATGCTGGTGCCATTAACAGATTTTCGCCAGCCCGATGAGTTTCTTTGACACGACGCCAACAGGACGCATCCTGAACCGCTTCGCCAAAGATCAAGAAGAGGTGGACACTGTTCTTCCTCTCCACATGGACCCCTTCCTGCAGTTCTGTCTTCTCGTCACCTTCACCATCATCATCATCGCCTCTGTCTTTCCCCTGATGTTGGTCGCTGTGGTTGTCATGGGAGCCTTATTCACACTTGTCCTTTTGTGAGTTTAGTCTCAAAGGTCAAAACACGATCACATCAGTTTTCAGGGGGACGGCAGGGGAACTGTCATCCAAAAGATTTTCTTTTAATTCTATGACTGCTTTTCCACTTCTTTGTTCTCATTTCTGCTTCTTTAAACTTAATTCAGAAAATGTGTGTTCTTTCTGCTAATTTTGGTTTGTTCTTCCATTTCAGATACATTTCAGAATTATTATGATCATTATGATTATTATGATTATTATGATTATGATTATTATTATTACTATTATGTATCTAATTTCGGCTGTTTTTCAGCAACTTCTACAAAAAGCATTCACACTGAATTCTGAAAATTGAACAAGTTATCTAGTTCTTGTTGTGGTTCCTCTTCAGCGTATTCCAGAGAAGTATACGTCAGATGAAGAAGATGGAGAACATCAGTCGCTCTCCCTGCATCTCTCTCACCACCTCTACCCTGCAGGGCCTCAGCACCATCCATGCCTACAACATCCGAGACAGCCACATCAAACTGTGAGACACTTTACGTTCATCCAGTGCAGGAGGTGATGTCTCACCGACAGGGTTCCTGATACTGGTCTACATCTTAAATGAGGTTTTATTTGGTTGAAGTATGTTAAGAATCTTCCTCCTGTCCTTTGTCAAACTATAGTTTCAAGTCCCTGAACGACATCAACTCCAATCATTATTTGCTGTTTCACTCCGGCACTCGCTGGCTCTCCTTCTGGTTGGACTTCATGGCTGCTACCATGACTCTGATGGTGTCTCTGTTTGTGGTGCTCAGCAGTAATGATGTCATCAACACAGCCCTGAAAGGCCTGGCCATGTCTTATACCATTCAGGTAAATCTGGACACCAAATGCGTTCCAGTTTAGGTTGAAGTTCAAACTCAGGCTGCGCCGTGTGCGCTCACTTCACATGCGCTGCAGTTGACAGGTATGCTCCAGTACGTCGTGAGACAGTCAACAGAGGTGGAGGCGCGGTTCAACTCGGTGGAACGCCTGTTGGAGTACATCACGGTCAGTTTTCTCTCCAGCCTTCAGTTCATGAGTCCTGGTCTGTTCGAGATGCCAGCTAATCATCTTCTGCTGTTTTCTTATTTACTGTACTAACAGAACTGCCAGCCCGAGGCCCCCAGGCACATAAATGAGGCTCGTATCCCAGACAGCTGGCCCAAGGATGGAGCCATCACCTTCCAGAACTACAAGATGAGGTACAGAGAAAACACGCCCGTTGTCCTGAACGGGCTTGATTTCCACATTCAAGCTGGAGAGAAAGTTGGCATCGTGGGAAGGACAGGGTCCGGTAAGATGTTCTTTTCAGAACAAAACATTGTTTTATTGTTCACCTTTAGATTGCTCGAATAAAGATCGTTTGACATGTTCAGCTCATGTCAAGTCCAAATACTGTAGAAAAGACACTGAAAATGTCCAAAAGATTTTATTTCTATGTCCTAAACATGATGACTGGTCCAACATGTTCAGTCAGGTCATCTGGACGTTTTTTTTTTCAAACTTTTTTTCATTCATTCAACCTTTATTTAGACAAATAAATCACTTAAATTTAATCCTTCATCCAAAGGACTTCATCAGTCCGAGTAGTCACAACAAACTTAGTCCCACAAGCAGCACACTCACATAGTGGGCCAACCAGTTTACTGGTGATGAGAAGTTACCGGAGTTAGCTGATGAGGTCCTTTGGATGAAGGATAAAGTTACCTGAGTTAGCTGATGAAATCATTTGGATGAAGGACAAAGTAACCTGAATTAGCTGATGAAATCCTTTGGATGAAGGACAAAGTAACCTGTGTTAGCTGATTAAGTCATTTGGATGAAGGACGAAACATAACAACAACAACAAAAATAAAATAAACTGTCCAGATGACCTTACTGAACATTGTTGGATTTTTTTAACCTGGATTATTAAGCATGAACTTTGATATGATGACGGGTCAACTTTTATTGTTTTCTCAAATCAGAACATAGTTCAGTCTTATGACAAGTTTAAAAAAAAAAATCAGCCTTATTGTACTTTGTAAGAGTTAATTTAAACAACTATTAATTTGTTTTATTTAGGGTACCTGCAGGTCTGAATCCAGCAGTCATGTGACGATAGTTGCAGTGTAGGTTTCAGCTCTCGCTCTGTGTTCTCTGTGTCTGCAGGGAAGTCTTCGTTAGGCGTGGCTCTGTTCAGACTTGTGGAGCCAGCAGCAGGAACCATCCTTGTGGACGGGGTGGAGATCATGGCCATTGGTCTGCAGGATCTGCGCAGCAAACTGTCCATCATCCCCCAGGAACCTGTGCTGTTCACTGGCACAGTCCGGTAACTGAAGCTAACCTCACTGACCGAAGCACTCGGATCAGTCACATGCTAACCAACGTGTGCACCCCCCAGATACAACCTGGACCCCTTTGATACTTACACTGATGAGGAGATCTGGACCGTGCTGCAGAAGACCTACATGCAGGACTCTGTACGTAATCGGGGCATGCAGGGGACAGATTTGACCAAAGCTTTGAGTTCATGTGTGACTTTTTCATCAGCAAAAGACAATTTAGTGCAAGAACTGATTTTATTTACAACAAAATAAAATGTGAATTTTTGGTGGGGTTAATTCTTTGTCTTTTCTTTAAAAAAAAATTCTAAATTTAAATGTAAATAAATCCCTCAGCATATACTCTCTACTAACTCTGTATTGTGCTTTGAGTATTTTCTGTATGTGATATGTGAAGCAGGTGATGCTGAAGTGAAATTCTTGATGTTAAACCTGATTTCCTCAGATCTCCAAGCTGGAGGGGAAGCTTCAGGCTGATGTGTTGGAAAATGGAGAAAACTTCTCTGTAGGCGAGAGACAGCTCATGTGTATGGCTCGAGCACTTCTCCGTAACTCCAAGGTCTCAGTTGTTTAGGATTTTTTTTAATGCCATCTATTATCCATTTATCATCTGTTTTCAATCATTCCTCCTCATGCACATTTAAAATTTAACTAATTTTGTCTGGCAGATCATCCTCCTGGACGAGGCCACAGCCTCCATAGACGCAGAGACGGACGCTCTGATCCAGACCACCATCAAAGAGTCCTTCCAGGACTGCACCATGCTCACCATCGCACATCGCATCAACACTGTCATGCACTCAGATCGAATTCTGGTCATGGACAAAGGAAAGGTAACAAAACATATACGTACACACACTCACTTTTTGTGTTCTGTTCTTCTGGGCCTTACTGGGTGTTTTGTCCACCAGGTGGCAGAGCTGGACCCTCCAGATGTGCTGAAGCAAAGACCCGACTCTCTGTTCTCCTCACTCCTCACTGCTGCCAACACTGTCAACACATAAGAGCTGCACAACGCTTAGACTTAACACACACTACATTAATCAGGTCTGTGTAAGTGTTAGAACAGGACAACAAACAGGTCTTCCAAGACAGACAGAGAATTATTTTCTTTTTTTTATTACACTCTGTAAATAGCTGTGTATTTATATAAAAGATGTACTGAAAAAAAACCATGAATGATGTCCTTCAGTTTTTTTTTTTTATCAGTGGATGTGAGCTGTATAGTATTTTTTTTTAAATAATTTATATTTATTTTCTGTGTCTGTCACTTTCCAAACAACTACATTTAAAGATTGGATGTGTTGTGTAAATTATATGACATGGGATGTACATTTGGAAATAAATACTCCATCATAATGCAGAAAGAAAGTCCCCATGCCATGCTTTACTGAATGTGCACATATGTTGGTGCATGGAGTAATAAACTTTATAAATTTGTATGTTTTAATGCCTTTTATTCTTACATTCCCTTCTCTAGTGTTTAAATTCAATTTTCACCAGATGGCCCGATGAGCATCAGTAAATCCTCTGACTGGAGGGGGCGCCTAATGTTTTAAATGTTTGACAACTCTGGGGATTTGTTTGAGGGTAAAGATCGTTGAAATTATGTTTTTTTTTTTTAGTAACTTCACAAATATGTGCTTCAGGTATGGCCTGTTTGATGAGAAGTATCAAATTTTGTACTGGTGAATCCCATTGTTGCAGCTGGAGTTGTCTTACAGTGGGGGGTGGGGGTCCTGTCCTCGATCTGCTGTCTCACTCCTGACTGTAGCGGTCCTCTCTCTGGCCTTACATTCTAGTCTTGATTCAAACCTCAGGGTGAAGCATTACAGTACAACATGTACATCATCTGCACTCTTAAGGATAAAAAGGATTACTTGATTTTATAAAAGTACGTTAGGAGTAAAGTTAATGAATTCCTTCTGCTGAATGCTGTCCCATCGCACAAAAACCAACTGGGAAAGAGGAGGAAGTCCCTTTACATGTGTGCAATAGTTTATTATTATTAATTTGTGGACTTTTACCAGCTTTGTGCAGACAGTTGTGTAATTTGAGGCTATGAAAGCCACAAATACTATTTATCATGTTTGTTACCCTCACAAGCCCTTTATGAATCTAAAAAATATATTAAGAAATATTAGGAAGATTGTTGCTTTAATATTTAATTGTGGAGCAAGTAAAAAACTAATATTTAAACAATTGTTGAAAAATCCTTCATTTAAAAGGGAAAAGTAAGACCGAGGCTGAAGCCAAAGTCTTGCAGATATACTTTGTATAAAATATTATAAATACTGTATTCTTCGGATTATATGGTGCATTAAGCGATAAAAGTTGATTTTTGACAAGATTGTTGAGCGCACCTTATAGTCAGAAAAATACGGTAATAAAAAAAATCAAGTTTTGTTCTCACACTTACTGTAGATAACGATGAGATTATAACAACAGCAACAATAAAGCTGGATGGATGCAGTGTGGTGAAATTACATACAAATCACATGAAAATGGGTTCAAAATATCTACACTGCCACATGAAAACTATAAAGTTTTGAATTTAAACTAATAAAATTATTTAAACTTTTTTTATTTAACTTCAGGGTCAAGTGAACAAACACTAACACAGTCTGTGGAGGAGGTGCTGTGTATTGGGTTTTATCCATCCACCCATTTTCTTCCGCTTATCCGGGGTCGGTCGCGGGGGTAGCAGCTTAAGTAGGGAGGCCCAGATGCCCGAGCCACCTCAACTGGCTCCTCTCAATGTGAAGAAGCAGCGGCTCTACTCTGAGTCCCTCCCGGATGATCGAGCTTCTCACCCTATCTCTAACGGAGAGCCCAGACACCCTGCGGAGAAAACTCATTTCGGCCGCTTGTATCTGAGATCTCGTTATTTCGGTCACAACCCAAAGCTTGTGACCATAGATGAGGGTAGGAACGTAGATTGATAGGTAAATTGAGAGCTTTGCCTTTTGACTCAGCTCTCTCTTCACCACGACAGACCTGTGCAGCGCCCGCTTCACTGCAGACGCTGCACCTATCCACCTATCGATCTCACGCTCCATTTTTTCCTCATTCGTGAACAAGACCCCAAGATACTTGAACTCCTCCACTTGGGGTAGGACCTCCTCCCTGACCTGGAGAGGGCACTCTACCCTTTTCCGGCTCAAGACCATGGCCTCAGATTTGGAGGAACTGATCTTCATCCCAGCCGTGTCGCACTCAGCTGCGAACCGCTCCAGCGAAAGCTGTAGATCATTTTCTGATGAAGCCAATAAGACCACATCATCTGCAAAAATCAGAGATTCAATCCCAAGGCCACCAAAACGAATCCCCTCAACACCTTGGCTGTGCCTAGAAATTCTGTCCATAAAAGTTATGAACAGAATCGATGACAAAGGGCAGCCTTGGTGAAGTCCAACTCTCACTGGGAACAAGCCCAACTTACTACCGGCAATGTGGACCAGGCTCTGATACCAGTCATACAGGGACCTAACAGCCCATATCAAAGGGCCCGGTACCCCATACTACCAGAGTACCCCCCACAGGGTTCCCCGAGGGATGCGGTCGAACGCCTTCTCCAAGTCCACATAGCACATGTAGACTGGTTGGGCAAACTCTCACGCACCCTCCAGGACCCTGCTGAGAGTGTAGAGCTGGTCCAGTGTTCCACGACCAGGACGAAAACTGCACTGTTCCTCCTGAATCCGAGGTTCGACTATCCGATGGACCCTCCTCTCCAGAACCCCCAAATAGACTTTACCAGGGAGGCTTAAGAGCGTGATCCCCCTTTAGTTGGAATACACTCTACGGTCCCCCTTTTTGAATGGGGGCACCACCACCCCAGTCTGCCAATCCAGGGGAACTTCCCCCGATGTCCACGTGATATTGCAGAGTCACGTAAGCCAACACAACCCTACAACATCCAGAGCCTTAAGGAACTCCGAGCGAATCTCATCCACCCCTGGGTCCCTGCCACCGAGGAGCTTTTTAACCACCTCGGTGACCTCGGCACCAGAGATTGGAGGGCCTGACCCAGAGTCCCAGGCTCCGCTTCCTCAGTGGAAGACGTGCCGGTGGGATTGAGGAGATCTTCAAAGTATTCCGCCCACCGCCCCATGACATCCCGAGTTGAGGTCAGCAGCGCACCACTCCCACTATAAACAGTGTTGGTGGTGTACCGCTTCCACCCCCGAGACGCCGGATGGTGGACCAGAATCATCTCGAAGCCGTGTGGAAGTCATTCTCCATGGCCTCTCCAAACTCATCCCATGCCCAAGTTTTTGCCTCAGCGACCACCTGAGCCGCATGTCGCTTGGACTGCCGGTACCCATCAGCTGCTTCCGGGGTTCTGCAGGCCAAAAAGGCCCGATAGGACTCCTTCTTCAGCCTGATAGCATCCCTCACCAACGGTGTCCACCACCGGGTTCGAGGGTTGCAGCCGCGACAGGCACCGACAACCTTGCGGCTGCAGCTCCGGTAAGCCGCCTCGACAATAGAGGCACGGAACATGGCCCACTCGAACTCAATGTCCTCCTCCAGAACATATTGGGTTTTAATGAAGTATAATCTGACAAACATTTAAAATATGTAGAACTTTTAAAAGGGCTTTAATTAGGAACGTTCTGCTGTGTCGTATAATTTATTCCTTGTTTTATAAGTGCTAGTTGTACATTTTATAGCTTGTACTGAACTTGAGGCTGTTTTCAGTCATTAACTCGAACTTGCTCTTGATATCTTTTTGTATCTCTGGTTCATGTGGGTCTGAGGCAGCAGCAGAAGGTTGACGTTTACGGCAGAAATCAGATGTGCTGTCACAGTCTCGTCTTTGTTTTCTCTAAAAAGTCTGCAGCTCCACCAGTTCAGCCCTGATGGTAAAACATACCCGAGATGAGGTGAGCTGTGACTCCCTGAAAGAAATGTGCTCTTTAAAGGACTGCAAATGACAAAAAAGCTCAGTGATGAACACTTTATAGTTTTGTTGAAAAGGAAGTAGAACTCTTTTCAGCTGCTTCAGCCAGTGACCTCATAGTCACAAGTTTTCCTTCTCCTCCTCAAGGCGATGGCTAAATAAAATGTGAATGAATCAGTTATCACGCTGCGTTGGGATGAAGCCAGCTCACAAGCTGTATAATAAAAAGTTTTGTCTCAACCATTTTATTTGATCTTGCCCCTTTCAGCTGTCCTCTTCAGGGCTCATCACAGCGAATCGTCGGTGTCCGTCTCATCTTGTCCCATCATCTGACCCCCTGCAGGTCCTCTCCTCCTCCCTGGTACTTCAACATCCTTTGCCCAGCATGGCTCCTGTCCCTCATCTGCACATGTCCACACCAGATCAAACTTGCCTCTCGTTTTATCCAAACTGCTCAACATGAGCCCTGTCCAGGGTGTACCCCGCCCCTCGCACAGTAATTGCTGGACAATGGGCACCGGCGACCCTCGTGACCCAGGGTGGAGGAAGCAGGTAAAAGATAAAGGATGGATGGATGGATGGATGCTCAACATGAGCCGTCCCTCTGATATACACACTTCTAGTGCTGTCCCAGTGAACATGTGAACATCTTCGTCTCCATCATCTCCTGCTCTGCCTGCTGGATTTTTGTTTGAGTTCTTGTTTCCAAACTTCATAGAAGATACAAACATCTTACCTTCCCTTTAAAAACTTGTAGTGATCCTGTCACAAATTCCCCTCTCTGTCCACTCCACTCTGCCTGTGCTCTCTTCTGCCTTTTTTTTTGCACTGCTTGTTCTTTTGACCCCAGCATGGCTGCAAATTGCATTGAAAATGAATTTTCTTCATCGCAGTTGATATTACTAAACAACATTATCAAACATCAAAATTAAACTCACTCACCTTCAGTACATTTACTTTCGACAACTTAAATTTACGTTATATTGGTTTATTATTAGTTTGTAACAAGAAAGGACTACGCAGAGCAAAAAGACTGATGAACAACTCTGATACAAAAATACCAATTCAGAGCTTTTATTTGCAGTGAGCTCAGGACGA